TATTATTTTTATTGCAGAACGCAATTTAGAGCACTTAAACAATGCACTTAGAAGACCTCAAAAATATGAATCAATTTTCATACGTTCTGGTAATTATTTTATGTACATTAATAATACGAAATGTGTCGATGTGTATTTGACTTCGGTGGACAGTAAAATGGGACCGACAAACCTAACTTGTATTACATAGAACTAATTTGTTTATCGGTACATTATTGAAGGCAACGATGCGCTTTGCTAAGTGAAGGTCAGAATCTTCAGAGAACTTTACAGTTCTAACTTATGTTTGTATTATATTATGACCCAACTTACGTTGGGTACAGAAAAAAATTGATGTTAAGACTCATCAATTATTCCCCTCCACGGAAATCTTTAGTAAAAGGCGAAAGATTTATACGTGATTTGAAGGGAAACCAGAGTAATGACCCTTATTCTCGTTCAGAATATATAGTCTCCTGCTGCACTTTTAGTAGCGAGAAAGTTCGCCACCTAGTGACCGTTTTGTGTATCACACTTACCTGAGGAAATGAAGTGTTTTTACCTTATTCATATTTACATTTATTGCTGAATGTACATTACATATATTGAAACTCATATTTATAATAAAGGAGTGATGATGTTTAAATATTTACTATTTTGTATTCTAATAAACATTAGTACTAATACAAGCTTTAAATCCAGGACTGCATTCGTATTTTTTAACACATTGCATTTTGCTCAGCGCATTGTTATGTTGCAAAAAGTAATACATGAAAGAGAGTTTTTAATTTACACATTGTTTTATAATAATTAAAGTACACATGAACAAGTATATTTTAGTAACATGAGTATTAATACATAAGACAGTATCCTCTATTAACATGTGAATATTTCATGTAATTAAACTTGTAACGGTAAATAAAATTTCTTTAGAATTGTTGATTTGAAAATGCGTTGGTTAAAATAAGAACAGTTACCTAGTGCACCGCTAGATGACGATAGTAACGCCTTTGAATTCGATTCGAGAAAGCCTGGACATTTATATTATGCATATTCGGTTAGAAACTTTTGAGTTTTGTAATAAAAAATTGTGACTTGTAATTTAAATTAAATTATTTAATTCAATATATATAATATAATCAGTATTGTTGAATAGTGTTACATTATATAAATTCCAACAGCATAAGTTACATGCATCTTATATCACTTTGCATGCACATAATGTACTTCTATTATAATTTTATATAAAAAATCTATGTAAAATTAAATTTTATTATCAACTCTATTTTCCCGTCTCAATTCATATCATATTTATGAAATACCTTAAATGTATTCATATAACATGTATAATTAAGTATTTTAATGTAAGATATTACAAATAATGAAATTCATATATTTTAATGCCTTTGCACTTGAGAGGTGACTCTAATTCACCAATGAGTCCAATGTGACAGCTCGAGAGGTGATTGCAAATCATAATTTCATATCTCAAATTAGTCCATAATCGCGAATCGGCCCCCGTTTTCAGCATTAGTTCGAAATTGACAGTCGTGACAATAGGATCATTTTTGAAGTTTGTGTGAAAGTTTAATTTTAATCGTATGCAAAAAACTTTGGTTTCTCAAATAAGAACAAATTTTCGCCCTATTCGTAATCGAGTTTTTACTTCGACTTGTAGGATGAAATTCGATCGAATGGAAAGCTACATGTTACTCTAACGGGAGTTAGGAAAACACCAAACAATATATTACTATGGCTTGTACTTGTCCCGACATGCCAGAATGCATTTTAGCGATTGTTTCATAGGATAAATACATAGCTTAATATTTAACAAATTTTCTTCTTTCTGATTTAAAAATAATACATTGGAATACAATTGTTTTACGTATAATTTGTAGGCAAAATTATTAAAATACTATAAAATCCCATCCCAACCACTTACGTATACAAATATAAAGGCTAAACCGTGTCAAATATAACTTTTTGTCAAGTAATTAAACTCTCCTAAAATGGGTTGAAACCCTCCAAAAAATTGTTGCAAGTACCGAAAGCCAGTTAACGGTGGTCAGAGAGGGCGGAAAGCGCGTCAGCTCTCATCAAGTATATGGAAAATTGTCTCGAGTTGTTCATTCGTCCAAGCGAAAAGGGCCTCAAGTGCAAAAAATGAATACTTTTAATCCATAAGAAATCCAAGCTTTAAATATTTTAATTGTTTATTTTAAGGTGGGTACAATGGACAAGAGGTAAGATAGTTTAATATTCCTTTCGAGAGAAGATTAATATAACACATGATTGAAATTTATATTCTGAAGTTACTTTCCTTTAAATGTATGTTATAAATATTTGTCTAAAGTGATTTTAGATACATAATATTTATATTATATAACATAATCTCATAGTTTGTCACGTTCCATTACACACTCTTTTCCATGTTTCTTCTTTCTTCTTTCTTCTCACAATTCTTTTTCACAATATTAATGTAATTTCATACATAACTTTTTCTTCAACTGTTACTGTTTCAATTCGTGACGAACTGCTCACAAACCGCAACATACGAAAGTGACACTTATGCGCTATGAATCTTATTTTTGATAAACCACGTGCTAACATTCCTTCGATTGAAGGTCATGTCTTAGAATGTGTAATTTAATCAAAACAAAATATTTTTCTTACGGTATTGTTTTCATTAATTGAGCTCACATTTATAAATTCAGTCATTTTAAGGTTATAGTCATGAAACTCTCTAATATAACCTATAATCAAATCTAAAATACATAATATGTATTATCTTAAAAAGTTAAGGTGACCTTGTTTTAAAAAGCTAACCTTTACATTTTATTGAGCAAAAGTTTGAGAGTAGAAGCTTTCTTTGTGACTTTTTTTTGTATTCCGATCTACAGGTGATTCAGAATTGATTAACTTTTATTGGAAGTATTTTTTATCACATTATCAAAAGTATCTGAAGAATCATATCTACACTTTGTACGTTATATTGATAAATAAATCCATGTCGCGTTCTTTTCAAATATTTTACTGAATTACTAAATTAAATGTAATATTCTGTTGGTCATATTTTTCTTCCGTTAGAACAGTATTTCCACTGTTGGTTAAAAAAGAGAAAATAAATGAGAAATAAGTAGCACCTGGTTAGTCACGCCTGAACTAACGGCTGTAAGCGATTCTGCAATAGGTACTACAAATTTGGCGAACACGATCATTAAAGAGCTAAATGGTGCAATTCTTTTACATTCACTTTTACTCTGCTATCATTTCTACTGATCTTATTCTAACAACATTTAAGGAATGTATTCAACGACGACACCGGAGTTTATATTTAGTCGAAATCGTTGCGTCAAAATGGTGAAACTGCTGAAATCTGTGATCGAAAAATTTCTTAGTTCATTAACCCCTTAACCTACGATTTACAGTCGAGAAGGTTTACATATGTTCCGATCACGGTCAAATTGGAAGGAATTAGCTCCCAGACGCCCTCTTCCTATGAAGAGAATAAATAAAAGTAAAAGTAAAGTATGTCCCGATCATCGTACTATGTAGTATGCCCATAATATTCACGTTTGACCCCATCATCGTACTACGGGCTATGCCCGTAGTTGTAGGTTAAGGGGTTAATGCATTTTGTATTGTAAGAAGTAAATCGTTTTAATCAGTTAAGTGTGTTTGACGACTACATCCGTCATGGAAATGTGGCAGAATTTTGTGTCATGACGATTATATCCGTCATGTGTAAAATTTTGTTACAATTTAATATTTAAATTTTAATTTTGGCGAAAACTAAATTATATTCGTAAATTGTAATATGTTTAAAGTGTTTAGAGGTCAACATAAAATGAAATAAACAAATAAAAAGTGCAAATGATTTGAGATGTATTCATAAATTCTTGAGAGCTAACTCGTCATCGCTTGATTATCGCGACACACACTGGTGCCCACTTTGCAAAAAGATCGCCACAGTTAACTGGTTAAATGTATAACACTTTTACTGTAATTGGTGCATAGAGTGACGTATACTTGGACCACGATACTGTGATTGACCCTTTTCATGAAAAGTTAAAAAACATAATACAATTTTTTTTAGCATAATGAAACAGAATCATATTTCGATGACCCAGATATTTTCGTTCCAAATACAATTATATTTTATTTTGATGCCGGTGTTGTAACTGCATATATAAATTGGAAACATTATAGGGCTTCCAATTTTATGAAATCGATATAATTTGATTTAAAAATCGAAACGCAGCAGTCAATGATTTTTGCATATTTTCAATTAACGATAACTGTAACAACTTATGTAATAATTCCATATTACGTGTAAAATGTGGCTAAAGTTTGCGAGTAAAGTTCTTTTATTAAAAAATGTTTACACTAGCAAATACAACAAGGGGGGAGGGTAAGAAACAACAATTATGTAGTACTTTTCGGTGAAAGAGGTATAATTTGTTATTGGAAAGTATTATTAAGTGTTGATACAATTACACAATGTGTTATGAAGAGATAAATCAATAAGTAATACAAGTAAATATTATTCCAAAATGTTAATATAGGTATTACATTATTAATATTAATAACTAGTATAAATTTTGTATAACATATTTTTCCAAAATGTTTAATTTCTTTAATAACATACGAAAGAGCAAAGAAGAAAAGAAGAATAAAAAGCAAAGAGCCCCAATATTAAGAAAAAAGATTTTGCGCAACAAAAAATATTGGCGCAAATTGAAATCAAAAAAATAAAAAATACTGAAGAAAATATTAATCTAAAATAATATATCATATCAGTAACTGTCAGTAGTGTGATTTGTCCAAAAAGAATAAAACTAGTTACACCATATAATAATAATATTTTAACCATTATTAAACACGTATTCTGTGGATTATTAATAATAACTTATTAATTATGTTTAATATGTCTCGAAAATTTAATTTAAAGTGCAATTATAATATTTAAAAAAATATATATATGTTTGAATAAAGGTATTGTTAAACGTTATACGTAACAATATCATTTGTCTTCACAGATATTGCCGTCCCTTCAGTCATTTTGTATTTACGCAGCGTTTGGTGTATTACTGACGTTTTTATTTCAAATTACATTTTACGTTGCGTTCTTCACTCTTGACGCACGACGAATCGAGAACAAGAGAAATGCGTTACTGCCATGTATCGTTCACGAAAATTTCACACCAAAGTTCGTCAGTCCTCAAGAGGAACTTCCGTCGAGATTGATAACCTACTTGTACTCGAATGTGATTTTAACAAAACCTGGAAAGATATTGATAGTATTAATAACAGTAATTATCGCATCTGTCGGAATTAAGGGTATACTACAATTACAGCAGTGGTTTGATCCACGTTGGTTTATACCGGATCATTCCTATCTAAGCAAGTATATCAACATGATGCGTCTCGAATATCCCGAGCGTGGATATGAAGCAATAATTCTTATGGGAGACTTTAATTACACCTCTGAATTTCCAAAAATAATATCTTTGGCGGAAACATTCGCCAATCTATCAACCGTAGAAAGTCTAAAGTCATGGCCCCATGATTTCACGAAATTTGTCTTGCAATTTTTTGGAAAAGGTCAATATTCATAGCTAAAAATAATGATGATGGTTCAAGGTATGCAAGGAATACACGAATACATTTTGTTTCTAGATTTGAGATACACAATCATTGGAGACATAGAATTCCGCCATTATTTATCCAAATTCTTGTTCAGTAAAGACGGTGGAAAATATCAGCGGAACTTCCGTTTCAACGGAGATTTAGTATGCGGAGAAAATACGCCGCCAATCGCAGTATCTACGATAGATTTCATCTTCAGACGATTTCATGGTCCTCACCAGTGGATCCCAGCGATGGATAATAGCAAACTGGTGGCTCGTGCTGTAGGAATCGATGGTTTTGTCACGGTGTGGAGTGAAGTGTTTAGCCTATGGGTCACGGACAAATTAATTGCTCAAGAAGTGCAGCGTAATGTCCTATTAGCTCTGATTTGTGTCATGGGAATGACAGCCTTATTGATTGCCGAGTTGCAAACCTGCTTCTGGATCTTCTTGTGTGTTCTTCTCACACTTTTGAACGTCTGCGGTTTCATGTATTTCTGGGGTCTAACCATAGACATTGCATCTTGCATAGGTGAGTTGTTTTCTCTTTCGCAACATTCACTTTTCTCAAATTTTTTAACATGGCGGTTTCGAAGATTTCAATGCTCAAAGTCAGTGCATTAACGGAATTATCTCCACATTCAAATAATGATATTATTTCTTTTCAAGGTTTGGAATTGGGCATCGGATTATGTGTAGACTATGCTGCTCACGTTGCACATGCTTTTGTGCACGCTGCTAGTGAAACCGGAGGCGAAGATCGAACAGAAAGAGCTCACATAGCAGTTAGATACATTGGAGCAGCGGTTGCATACGGTGCAGGTTCAACGTTGCTCGCGCTTTCTATGATGGCATTCTCAGAAAGTTACGTGCTTCACGCGTTCTTAAAGATCTTCGTTTTGGTGATATTATTTGGTCTTTGGCATGGGCTGTTCCTTCTGCCCGTAATATTGAGCACAATCGGACCGAGGAGTTTGCGATCGCGCAGCACACCGCAGTCTCCGGAAAAAGTGGAAGACACGGGCGACACTGTGATCAGTCCACTAAATAAAGAAACAGAGAGTTAAAAGAACTCCCGGAAAAATGATTCTTTATCAATAATATTTATTTTTGGTTCAATAAACATACAAAATTATTACACTATCCGTACTATTAATCACACATTTATACAAAAATAATAATAATAAAGATCGGATAACTTAAAAACGGCGTTATTTATATATTTATATATATATTTATATATATATATTTATATATATATTTTTTACACCCGCAATAATGTTTTTACACCAGTCTTACAGTGAGAGCCAATTAGACAGAACCTATCAATTGCTATACAACATGTGGTCAATTAGTATAATTCTGAACTTTTAGTAACAATTAATGTTTCTTTCTAATCTTTTTAATACTTATTTTTCTTATTATTGTTCAATATTTTGAATATAATAATAGCAGTTTTTATTTCTCAATTTTGGCGATGAATACGTGCTTTTTATAAATCATATAACATGCTTATTAATGCTTATTAGTAATGCTTATTATCAAAAATTGATGAGTAATAATAATAAATAAGTTAGAACTAACTAAAGAAATAATTAATATTACGAGACGATATTCTTCTTATAATAGAAACGATTCAGTATCAATAGATATTCGGTGAGAATAGTATGCATCAGTTGTGTCAACAGCAACATTTAAATAATTGGTCAAACACAACATATACTTTACTAGCCATAAAAGTGTTAATAAAATAATACATTTATACATCAACTAAATATAATAAGTAATGGAAACTTGTACAAATTTTAAGGAACTTTACGTACATTAAATCTATGTCTGCAGTTACTTGAATAATTGAATAAATAATTCAATCTTATTTAGTCAATAATAGACTTTCAATTTTTAGCACACAATAAATTAGACTTTAAAAAATAAACCAAGCAATCAAATACTAAAACTACTGAGCTATAAATTGAAATAAGTAAACTAAATCGGCAGAATGGGTGAAAGGTCAAAATACAAGGTATTATTTAAATACAAATCGAGGATAATCATCTTAACCGTATCCTACGAAGATGAGACCTCATGGATTATTGAAACACGAAAGTGGTGATAATTCCGAAATAAGATCAAATTTAATACATGTTTATATGAACTTTTTTCGTTTACTGAAGTAGATCACGTATATCATGAAACACCCTTATTTTAATTAATTCATAGATTAATGCTATTATTTGGAACATATTAATTCTATTTGTACCGTTAGCATAGAATTAGCAATAAATGTGATAATGGTCATATACGATTTCGTTCGATTAAACGTTATTTTATGCAAATTCGACACTAAATACATTATCAATAGATATCATTATTTTAATTATTATTAAATATAATTACCTTAATTGTTAATGCTTATAATTAAATACCCGTTCAATATCTATAGGTGTTAATTAGGTACTTTATCATTAAATCATAGTATTGAATCGAAGTATTTTTTTGGATCTTAAAAATGTTTGTTATACAAAACAATATATGTTATATTATACACCAAACTTAATACACATCTTGGCAAATAAAATAAGTAATTATTTTCACAGCAGCTAAATGTAATGTCTGTAAGAACGTGAAAATTAACAAAGATTTGCGTAGGTACTGTTATTTAAGCAAATGGTAAAATGCGAAAGGAAAAGTTAACCCTTGATAATTGGAAGGTGATTCGCACTCACCATTCGATAAAATACAACAAATTTAAATAAATATTCTTTATCTAAATTTATAGTGTGATGTGTGAAATTTATAGTGTATGAACATAATGAAACATACAATGGCAATGGATAATAAAATGTTAATAATTTCAAAAAAGTTCATTAATTTTTGCAACCAGAAAGTTTTGCAGCTGCTATCCATCAAATATAAAAATATGAAGTCTGTTTAAGTTTATTATATCGAAACAAACATAAGAATAATTAATACGTCGAATTCATTGAAACAATGGTCAAAACGGTACAGTGGCCACCAACTGTCAACAAATATTGAATCTACGAGGCAAATACAGTTTGATAATAAATATTGACAACATTGCTGATATTGTATTGACAATATATATTGACTGTCTGAGGGCTCTTTCAGTGAAGGCTTTTCAGGTGGCTATGTATCGCAAACAGATCAGAAACGGTAGATGAGGAGGCGATTCCTAGAAAGAACGATTCGTATCCTGTTCACGAACACCAGCGGAGACGCGCCTTTACAGTCCCGTACATCGACAGCAAAAGAGTTAATGCTCATCAGACCGACAAGCTCGCGTGTCGCGTGTTCGGAATAAACGCGTGAAAAAGCGTGACGAACGGTATGGACATCGGCATGCGTTCGCGTCTTGCAACAGGCAGCAGGCCACGCATGCAGATGAACTCGCGGGCTATGTCGATAACAACGGCAGGCAGGGGTTCCGTCGATTGAAAAAGGGACAGCCGATAACAGCGCGAAGGGTAGATGAAATGGGGGTTCGTTTACCCCTGGAAGAGTCACCCTGTCCTCATCGATCCTCATCCTCTGCCTTCTCTACGGGCGTCTCCTCTTTCCACCCTCTTGTTTCTCCCTCTCTCGCACCGTTACTACCATCCTCGTAGCTCCTCGTCCTATGTATTTCCACTACCATCCACGCGATTCTATCCTCTCTCTGTCCCACAGGCCGACTCTCCGACTTCTTGCCTCTCGTCCCGCGCCATCCTCTCTTTTCCTCTTGTCCGACACTCCCGTCAGCATCGCGAAGAAATTCACTTTCGCGAAAAAAAAAACGAACTCGCGAAAAATCGATGCTGGCCGCCTATTGGCCACGTAGCCGGTAGATCGTGACCGCATTGGCGCTCGCGGCCTCGCGGGCGTGGCTTAAAGATGAGCTCTCGCTATGTCATCGCTTATATTGATCCTATACTCGGGCCAGCCGGTGGAGAACGACGTGGGCACACACCGACGTTGATCCACATGCACGTCGTGTTACGCGGCCCACGTTCCATCGCGAGCTGATCCCTGCACGCGCGGCCGAGCATACGTCCATTTCCGTTTCCACGCTTATTCGCTCGCGTTAAGGCCGTATCGTGGCCTTAACTCGTTCGCCGCCGATCGCGTCGGATGTGGTCTTGACGATATGCGTACTTGAATCCGCGTCACACTTGTCAGTTTAACCCTTCGCCATACTTTGACGACTCTGACTCGTCACACACTCATGGTTCAATCGTGATAAATCTCGCTCGAATGTTGTCGGAAAACTCTGTGGTTGTAAATAACGCCAGTTGGACGACATATTCTCTAACTAAAATGCATGTACTGTTTAGGAGTGGGCGGCCTTCATGATTGGTCAGCATGCGTCCGATCGTGATATACCACTATTCATTTTGTTCATCTCTAATTTCCAAACCGATCAGATGATTGTTCCACAAGTTTGTTATTACAAGCTATACAATTTGTTACAGTTTTTTTGAAATCTGTAATCGTTTATTTATTTTTCGGATTCATTTTTAATTTAAAATTATGTGCACATTATACGCCGGTAAGATTAGTGCTAACACGTTGACAGTGAAAACTTGTCGTTAGACCTACTATAACACACATTATTAATTCGATTTACGAAACACGTAAAAATGATGCATCTTACATTTCTTATGCTACATTACAGAAATAATTAAGATGAAGAATAATTGTGTAAATTACTTTATCCTTTATCCTCTAGTGTCAAGAACAAAGGTATATAATTTTTTTATTTTCATCTTTTAATCTGTTAATGTATGCTGTTGTTTCAACATGAAGGGCCCTTGAAGGTTGCTTTTGTTTGCTTTTCCAGTAAATAATTACTTTAACTGAATTTGTGGCATGACCACCGATGACCACCAAAGCAGACAACGTGTTAATTATAATTATGATTTATTCTGTGACTTTCTCGATTCGCTTTTCTTTCTTTCCGTCTTATCTGTAACAAATGCTATATTTTTACTATGCTTCAATTTGAAATTTAAATCCAACTATAATTTGTATAATCAAATATAGCTGAAAACAAAGTAAATTTCTTTTTTGTTTATTTTAACCTTTTGCAGTCGACTATCGTCATATAAGCAATATTACATTTTTATTCTCTAAGTTGAATGTCGTTGCAAATATAAATTAATTATGTATACTGTCATTGGGTGTATTTTTCTATTCGGCAATACTATGTTTGTTGATTTAAAATTTGCTTGTTAATTTAAAAGCGTTACCTTTTTGTTCTTCAAAAGAATATTAAAACAGAAATTTCATTAAACAAAATTCATTAAGTAATTAATTCAATTTCATTAAAGAAATTTTTATTTTTCAATTAACATCGTATTTATAACGCCTAATATTGTTTTATACAAAAAAATATATTCGTCAAAGCAACAGATGTACTTGAAAAAGTCTTTAGACACAAGGTGTCAATATTGTATCTGTAAATAATGAATAGTTCTAATTAATGCATCTGACAAATAAATCATACGGCAAAGTGTTAAGGACATTTTAGATCTATTTTAAAATGCAACGAAGATAACGAAACTCTGAGACATTGTTCTCTGTGACTTCATAAATCATCAGAAACGGTTTCAAATGAGCCGTTCATGAGTTACGACGATTTTAATTTTCTTTGACTTTAAACGAGCTTTTCGATTACATTAGATTTACGGAACCCGTAAAAATGATGGATCGTAGATTTCTTAGTTTAAATTACAGAAATTATTAGGATTATTTTACCACACTATATTTTAACTTCTGTCGAGTTAACGAATAATTGTATAAATTAATTTGTATGTCATCCGTTATTACTTATTTTTGTATTTTATTGCAAATCCAAACGTAACTACTCATCAAACATTCGTAAATTTTGTGTTAAGTACAATAGGTAATAAAATAATTTTTAGAAAAAAAATACGCCGACTTCGAAATGCACTAAAAAGTATAAAATAATTTCTATTTCCTAATAAAGTAATTTCTATTTCATTCAATCATACAATTACGTAACAGATATGAATGAAACCTATTTACTCGTTAGGTATTATATTAAATACATTTCAACCTTTTCGGAGGCGGCGCAAAATTAAAAGATTATTTTGAATATGTTATTTAATTTTCATAAAAAAAGG